TGGCGAAGTCGTCATCGTAATTTTTGTTTACGTCTTTACGTTTGAACTTTACTTATACCGACATAAAAAAATACACAAAATGCTGTTTGCCGGGACGTGGTTTCTTTTTAAACGTCGCCGTCGTCATCATCGTCACCCCGTCATTATTGTCCTTGACACTTTTAACGATCCCGAACAGTTTTTCCTTTTTTTTTTTTTTTTAACATTTTTTTATTCAATACAGCATATATATATATATATATACTAGCCACAAGTATATTTATATTATTATACTTTTTCGACTCGACGAACAAAAGAAATGGGACGAATCGCTCGTGTCAGGCTGCAGAGGTTTAGTATAATATTATATATATATATATATATATAGGTACTTGGGTTATACAGTAATGTACATGTTGGGGTGTGCGATAAAAAAAGTGGCAAGTTAAAAAAAAAAAAAAGGTTAACTTGCGCACGCATAAATTGTATTTCATTTTACAATATAATATACGAGTAATACGAGTATACTATTTACGCGAGCGGAGGTTTTTTTAGGTGCGGAAGAAAAGAGAATATTGCGAAGTACGTTCGTTGCAGCGCTTTCTGGTGCCAAAAGTAAAAATGTCGATATTAAAACAATATTTTCGACGTCTGCGTTATCCCCGGTCTACGTTTATAGGATTTTTTTTTTCGATCTCGCGAGCGTTTTTGAAAAATAACGTTACAAAGAAGAAAACGACTGTCAGTCTCCGTACCTATAAAGGATAAACATCTCAAATTCTGTTTAGCCCTTTCAGAACAATATAATATGAAAATAATACACCAAGTGTTGAAATAATACGAGAAGTAGGGGAGAAATGAAAAAAAAAAAAACACTGGGACGATGGATACTCGATGCCGTTGTTCGAAGGATCACTTGTTTCGCAGATAGCATCAAGAAAATGAGACGATACGACAGGACTTAACCCCTCCCCTCCCATCGTAAAGTAACAAGTGTATGTATATATATATTAATATATTTTGTATTGTTTTACTATCTCTGCAGAGTCACGAAGTCTGTTTCGGGAGTCGCATTATAAAAAAGTGAAAAAAAAAAAAACAATAATAAACATCGATTTTCTCGTCAAATAACAAGTAAGGTATCGTAATACATTTTTGTTTCGTTTCAGATGTAATCTGTGAGCTATTTTTTAATTTTATTATTATTATTATTATTATTATTATTAAACATTCTGAATTGTGATGCAACGAAATAAACGTAAACAATTATGTTCTTTTTTTTTTTGTATCGCGTGAAAAAGTAAAATCAAATAACAAAGTATAGAAACGTATTGTATAAGTAGAAACAATGGGTATAGGCACAGGTATAAAACAAATGAAGACAAAGAATCGAATTTAATGGCAATTCAGATTTTTTTTAGTAGAAACAGGCGATTCAATACATCAACACTTTCTATAGTTAATTTTCGGTATCTTATTCGATATTTTATTGCGATGTTATTAAGATTCGATTAAATGAATGCAAGTATAAAGTTTATAATTGCATTTTAAACAACACACAATTTTAAAAATTATATTATATTTTTTCGCGAGAATAAAGACAATAAAGAAAAAACAAAATGCAAGGTCTTTTTATAAATTCAACATAATCTGCAGCGAATCACACGTATACAATGTAGTTTATTTTACCTCGGTTTTTAAATTATGCGTTAACCCTTTAAACAAAACAAAAGAAAACAAAAAATTCAAAAACAATAATCTACCGAATATCATTTGAATTTTGAATGGAGAAAATATAATAATTAAAAGCGTTTTCTCTATTGTTAGAAAGAATCCTTGTAAAGGTGATTACTTTAATACGAATAATCTACGGTAATCTACAATTGAAATTAAGCGCGTAAAGGTTCACGTCGGGACAATGATTGTTATTATTTTTTTTTTATCTACATACAAACTTTTTAACCGACAAATCATGTATTTTTGTTTATTGTTTTACAACGGCTCTTTTAGCAGAATACATTTGAAAAGAAACGGTTTTAGATGCGGTGCCACACGAATCGTGCACAACACTTTATACAGCGGCGATCGTATTTTCATTTTTATTTTTTTATTTTTTTTTTTTTTTACATAATATTTTATTAATACGCGACAATCGATAAAATAACGAATATATTTTTTATACAATATTTTATGGCTCGCAATATAAGAGAAAATATACGATTTGGATATAGTATTATGCAAATACGTAAACATTTTATTGCAGTCGCAGGAGACGTTCCGGTGGTTGGGGGGTGGGGGGTGGGCGAAATAAAACAAGTTTAGAGAGACTACCGCGGAGGGTGAAAACACATAGCGGTGTTACGACGTGTGTTCGAATGCAATATCGAAGTTTTCGTCGTCGCGATATTGTATAATAATATTGTATTGACACAGCGCGTGCAGCATCCGACGATTAGACGGATTTTACGGTCGGACCGTAAATATCACAAGCCTGCACGAAATCCCGCAGAAACGATCCATAAAGGTAATATATTTATTATTTCGCTCAAAAGCGTCGATGGGGTTTTCGAGGGACGTTGTTTTTTTTTCCTGTTATTAAATTCTCCGCGTCTGCAGCAGGGTCTTAATAGACCGACGACGACGTTTCTCGTGTCTCGCGCGATATTGCGAATTCCTCTGCTCTGCTGGTCTATAATACTCCTATCAGCTATTTTCACCGCCGCCGGATTACCTCACCTACCGCGGGGAAAAACTCGTCTCGGATAGCCCGCCGGTTGTTTTTTTTTAATTTTCGTTTTTTTTTTTTCTTTTTTTTTTTTCCCCACAGGACCGGAGAATTTTTTCATCAGACGAGCTGCGCGTGCGGACGACGAGGTGCGCGGGAGTTTTCGATGAAATATATATTATAAACTTCTCGATAATCCCCGCGAGACAAGTTTTTTTTTTACCTCGCGCGTGTGCGGCTATACTGCCGCGGAAACGTTTAACCGAAAATATTTCTCACATACATATACGGAATCTGCATAAGCCCTCCGAGGAATACACCGCGTAGTGCCGCTTCGCCGGTCACCCCCTTCCCCTGCATAACGTTCCCGTGTAAACACCTTCCGGGGGAGGGAGGGGGTGGAGGGGAGTGAAATACATAAAAATCTACATCGGCAAAGCTTTCGCCAAACTTTTTCGAATTTATTCGCCCGTCGCCGGTTTTCCCCTGTCGTTCGCTCCGCGCGCGAAAATTGATTGGGGTGTATGTTTTCCAAATCCCTAAGTACACGCCGGCGGCGACGTCTGCGTCCTATGCAAAACGAACGCGATACTATAAACGCTAAATTTATAACGCGGCGAATGTCTATACGCACGTACACACACAGGTACAGCAGATATTTTTCAATCCGAAGAGAATATTCGCACCAAAGTTATAGAATACAGGGTGATTTTTTTTTTTTTTTATCACGGACCAACAAAGATCTGCCGAGATTTCGAGTGAATTCAAGATGTTGGTTTTTCGTCGCCCGGCAATCTCACGTACCTGTTCTCAAAACTTTAGCCGTTTTTTTTTTGACGCACCGCAGAAAACCCACACAGTATAAATCAATCCTCGGGTTTCAAATAGCAACGCGATTCGAGACGCACTGCGGGTCGTCCAACTGACCCGTCAAACTGACGCCCGAGAAAAAGTAACCACCAGGCGAGAACAATTATACTGCGTTACCATAAATGTTGTTCGTCTTTCAAGACCGCGTCCGCGGAACATTGCGCGCGTTTGCATAATCGCACGGTTCAGCTGTGGTCCGCCGGAAGCGTTGCGGTGTTATTTTAACGGCTGTCTGTGATGAACGTCTGTGTACGAGCCGCCGCGGATCAAGGGACCCGTTATTATTGTAATAGCCCCGCGAATGGCCAGAACCCGCATTATTTTTTTATGGACTCGGAGCGGCAAAGAGAATAATATGCACATGTTTTCGAACGTGAAATCGTAGATACCGGTCCGTCGGCGGAAAAAAATCACCCCGCGCGCGAAAATACTGTTTATTATAATAATAATAATAATAGAAACTCGACATTTTTATTCTTTTTTTTTTTCCGTTTTCGTTTTCGCACGACTCCGCGGGTTCTGCCGCGTGCTCGGATTGTTAAAACTATCGGCGAAAAATTGCGTTACGCCAAAATTATGGCAGCCGACGTGTGTACACGCATACGCCGGGTCCGGGAGTCATCAATTCACGTCGGTCTAATGGAATCCCTCGGCGCCGCAGCTGACCGTACTATATTCTTGTTCGGTATAAGGTTATTAAGGGTTTTTTTTTGTTTTTTTTTTTTCGTAACAACGGCGTGTTAATTATACCGAGAGGGGCGTGCGTCGCCGTCGACGCGACGGGCGTTTGTGTGCAGCGTCTGCGGGCGGGTTTCCACTTTATTAACCTTTCACACAAATTCTCGGTGAACCCCGGAAAAAAAAAATAAATAAAACATTGACTCGAATTGACACTCGACCCGACGGGTTCGGCATTGTACCCTTATTATGTATTTTTCGGGTTTCCGGCACGTTATCCGTAATGAATTTAACGGGCGAAAACCTATCGCGCGCGGCCATTATTAGTACTGCCGGGGATACCGAGTAAAAAAAAAAAAAATATGAAAATTTTTTTATTTTTATTTTTTTTTAATTTTATCACGAGTACTTCGGCGATTACGGCGAGGACGTTTCGCGGTACGATTTCGAGTTTGTCACACGATTATACAACTTTCGGGTTTCGTGAATTGCGCGTGCGTATACACTTTTCGTCGGTTATTTCGCATTTTTTTTTTTTTTTTTTTTTTTTTTTTATTACAAACGCCAAACCCGTACAAGGTCGGTGTATTGTAGTATCCGTACACACACGACAGTCTCAATATGCGAA